TGACTATAAGAAGATGAGACTGAGAACCATCGCTCCAACCAGCTTAGGTCATTTGGGCCTTTATAGCCAAAGAAATCCACTCAAAGCAACTATATTCTAGGAGATGTGGGGGATTAATCTCTCTCCCAAATAAAGATTAGAGAGTAGTAGTAGAGAGAAAAATCCCTCATACATTCCCTTTGAGCCAAGTCTGTTGGAGGCTACGGCATGGTCGGAGTCGAGGATCAAACCAGGCCCTGACTTGTGTCTCCTTCAAAGTCCGGACACCTTGACAAGGTTAAGGACAGGAAAGTTGAGTAACACTGAGAAAAGGGTCTGTGCTATGTGTCGTGCGCTCGCCTACGTGACTTCCCTCACACTCTCCCTACAGAAGGGAACAATGTGGTCAGGGTCATGAATTCTTAGTTGGTCCTTGTTGTTCCTGTACCTCCCATAACCCACTCCCTGGTTGATTGTCTTGCTAATGGCATTAGCCGAGACTACCTGACATCACGAGGTTTGCTTGTAGTTAATGTAAACTTATTATAGAAACTTGCAATCATCTGACTAGGTACTGATGTATTACTCCTCCTATTGTGGTCTGCCTTATAAATGATTGTAAGATGTGGAATAAAATTGGCACTGTTGGACATCATCTTCAGTGTCCCTCCTGCCCCCATCTCTTTGTCTCTTAATTTCTTTTCACCATCCTCTTACCCTCACGTTTTCCTGGTCGATTTGTCGCGCTGGCCGCGGCACAAGTTGGGAGGACAGAGTTGCCCAGACTCTGTTAGCCCCGTGGGAGTCCCACCAGATCTCATCTTCCTTCTGCTGTGGCTTTTCTAGTTCTCCCTTCCCACCTAGCCTGGAGTTGGGGTCAGTTATATCAAATGAATCAGATTGGTAGAGGCACTTAATGGGTTTAGTCTAAGAATTTAGTGGTGGAGAGAAGATTGTTACAGGTATTGTGGGAGAGGCAGGGACAGATGTGAACGAGAGCAGGGCTTGGGATGCCAGCAGTTTTTGTGGGGAGGCCCTTTTTATTTTTAAGGTTTTATTTATTTATTGGACAGAGAGAGATCACAAGTAGGCAGAGAAGCAGGCAGAGAGAAAGGGGGAAGCAGCCTCCCCGCTGAGACCCAAGCTGAAGGCAGGGGCTTACCTCACTGAGCCACCCAGGCACCCGGGAAGGCACTTTATTAAGGAAGCCCAGATGCGGACAGGTTGGGTTGAGGCCTGGGAAGCTGACATTTGTGGCGGACTGTTGGAGGAGAGGTGGGAAGAGTGTGAATAATTAGTATTATCCTTCACGTTAATTCAGACTTGGAATTCTCATGTAGTCCCATACTGCTATTGCTTTTTGAGGCAGCCAGAATTCTTTCCCCAAACTGACTCCCCCTCTACCACCAGGACCATTAAAATCTTTCTGCATACAGCCATATCCACACTACAGTTTTCAAGACTTGGCAAGGGGTGGGGGATGGAGGAGAAGTTAGCTGGGGAGTGGGAGGAAGGAGGGAAGTAACTTACATAGATGAGTGAGGGGGATGGGCACACCATGATGCTTTCTTCTATCAACCCTAAGTAATAGCTAATAATCACTTTATTACTAAGACTAGTTAAAATGTAGTACCTCTTCCTAAATACGTCTATACCTATTCATCAGCTATTTTATTTTATTTTAAAGATTTATTTATTCATTTGTTTGAGAGAGGGAGTGCACAGGAGGGGCAGAGAGAGGAGAGAAGCAGACGCCCCACTGAGTGGGAAGCCCAACACAAGGTTGGATTCCCGGATGCTGAGATCACAACCTGAGCTGAAACCAAGAGGTGCCCCTATTCATTAAAAACAAGGATTACAGGGGTGCCTGGGTGGCTTAGTGGGTTAAGCCTCTGCCTTCAGCTCAGGTCATGATCTCAGGGTCCTGGGATGGAGCCCTGCATTGGGTTCTTTGCTCAGCAGGGAGCCTTCTTCCCCCTCTTTCTGCCTGCCTCTCTGCCTACTTGTGATCTCTGTCAAATAAATAAGTAAAATCTTTTAAAAAAATTAAAAAAACAAGGATTACAAAGATGTTTCAGACATGTTAAGGAGTATATTAAATAAATAGCCAATCATACATGTAACCAACAATAACAGATGATGTCACAAGCTGGCAATAAATAGCACATTCTAGGGCGCATGGGTAGCTCAGTTGGTTAAGCGTATGCCTTCGGCTCAGGTCATGATCTCAGGGTCCAAGAATCAAGTCCCACATCAGGCTCTCTGCTCAGTGGGGGGTCTGCTTCTCCCTCTCCCTCTGCCCCTTCTCCCACCCCCACTCATGCTTGAGTTCTCTGCCTCTTTCTCTGAAATAAATAAAATCTTAAAAGAATAATAATAATAACACATTCTATAATCAAGGCCCAGAGCTAAATAGTCAGTGTGAATGATCACCTTTAATTCCTCACAACAATCTTAAAAGTTGGGCTTCCGTGTTTTTAACTTATTTTTTCGTTGTGGTTGACAAACGGTGTTAGATTCGTTTCAGGTGTGCAACATGGGGATTCCACAATTCTGTACATTGCACCATGCTCACCAACGTAAGTGTAGTTACCATAAGGTCGGACTTCTTATTAATCTGTCTCTACTGAGTAAGAAACTGAGGCACAGAGAAGTTAGAGAACTTGTCCAAGATCACATAACTGAAAGAGGCAGGAGTCAGATGTGAAGCCCGGGAAGCTGGCTCTGAGCGATGTCTCTGACAGAAGGCAAGCCAGTGAACCGGGAGAGGAGGGAAGTGGGAGGGCGGCTCAGAGAACTTATTCTAGTTGACCCGTTTAGCCTTTGCAGGATTTATGACAAGAATGATATGACTATGGTTTAAGAGAACCATCCCGGTACCTGTGCGGAAAGTGTACTCTGGGAAGGCAACGGGGAGCGAGGAAGTGAGGAAGCTGTCACACTGGCCGGAATGGGGTGTGTGAGAGACTTGTGTTAGGTCTGTAGCAGCAGAAATGCTAGAAGTTGGAAGTGTGAAATATTTTGCAAAGAGTAAATACCAATTGACAACGGAATGAGCTTGCGTACCCAGTTCCCATCAAGATTTCCCCCTGGGGCCACAATATGCAATCAAACAGGAGAAAGGAACCAGGCTAATCATGGGCCACTGGCATTTTCCCCTAATGATTGATGAACCAAAAAAATCGTTTGGGTCCTTCAGCTGGGATGAAGGGAAGCTTGGAACTTAAATCTCCATGAAGAAGAGACAGAAAGTCCCTTGAAGCAAACAGCTCTTGAGAGAACCTGAAATATACAAATATAACAGAAGCTGTCACCTCCAGTCCTAGGGAAAGTGGGGCTGCCTTTTCTTTGGCATTCTGAAACACAAGAAGGGGTCTGGAAACCTAGTGCCTACCCCACGTGTTCAAATGGCTGTTCTTAACCTGTCGGCAAGATGTAAATCAAATGTGTGTAAGCCCAGCATTTTTTTCCAAATAAAATATAATAAAAGCAAAAATTATTGTGTATTGCTCATCCTAAGTGATATTTAGGGAAACTTTTGTTTCCACATTATCAGGACCTGTTAAGGTGGGTCGGGGAGAAGCAGGCCCCAAGTTAGAGCAGAAGGAGGAGGCCTCTGAAATAAAATCATAGAGATCAAAAGAAAATATGGGGGGGTACCAAAAATCAGATTGTTCCCCCACACCAGTGAGAGTTGGAAAGAAACAGGAGATGGCAATTCTGTGTTTCTTTGGAACTGAGGTCCAAAGCAGATTCCTGAACATGTCCCAACACTTCCCTTCCAGAGCAGATGTCACCTCAGAACTTGCTGACTCAGTAAATTAGGAAAAAAAAAAAAAACCCACAATCCTAAAGGACCTGAATAGTTTGAAAAGGAGCCATGATGAGCATATGAGACTCTGGTATGGGAAATTGCAGTCTGAGATTGTGCTCATGTGGTTGGGGAGAGGGGCACAAGCTTCCGCTGGAACGTGAGAGGAGGACCAAACAGAGCTAAACAGGAACACATCAAACATTTCAGAGATTTAATTGCAAAAAGAAAAAACCCTAAAATTCTAACACTAAAAAACAAATTCAAAAGGAACCTGGAGAACAATTTTTGGTGAGTATCTATTTACGAGTTGATGCCGTTGATAAGAATTCCTACAAAATTCAACAGCAGTGCCCTGAGACTGGAAGGTGTTATTTCCTGCCAGAAGGCAGGGTTTTGCATGCACAACGGCACCTGGTCGGTGGAAGGATGGGGTCCAGTCTTCTCAACAGTCATTTCCCTCATTACATAACTGATTCCAGAAGGTTTGGAATCTTAGCAGCTTGACATTCTCTGAGCCTTTTGGCACCTTCCTGCCTGCTATACCCAACACACTCCTTTGACAGCTCCACAAAAGGCCAATGACTGAAATGGGCAAAGGAAAATTCCCATTAGAACAAATATGAATCACCATTAACTATAGCTATCTCTAAGTCCTGTCTTTCAGCTGTGTTTGGGAGAAAATAAAAATGAGAAACGTCATTCTTTCCTAGAACTTTTGTCTCTCACTGAAACTTCATGTCAAAATATTTTACACTGCTTGTTTCGTTCTTTTCCCCTAGATAGCTGTCATTATTAGGAATTTTATCAAAGAAAAGGCATGAAATAATGAAAAAAACATTGTTTCTACTCACAAAATATTTTATTTAACTTACAATCTAAAATTTCCCATTGTATTTAGTACAAAATTAATGCACAGCCCTGTCTAATCATCACTCAACTATTTGGCTGAGAAATTTGGCCCCACTTGAAGCCTAGGAAAACTGAGGCTTGGAGCACTTAATAACATCCCCTAAAATCCCATAGTTCTTTAGCTACAAAGTCTATAAAATACAGCCTAAAAATTGGTTAGTTGCCATGTCTACAAAATCTATTCTTAAAAATCTTTCTATTATAGTACGTTTTCTCTCCCTGGGCCATTCTGACATTTCTCAGGTTAAAGGTCTCATTCATTCACCTCCAAGAAAGCTTCTAGGAAGCGCTGAGTTTCTCATGAGCAGATTTTCAGGGAGGCACCCCTGTCACCTTCTCTAGGCAACTCAGGACAGAAGAATGGACGCAAAGGCTCCAAACATGAGAGACAACTATATGTATACATGAGGGCATTATCTCTAGCATCAAAAAACTTGAGTTCTTCCATCTCAACATCTAAAAAAATCCCTATGTGGCTAAGTTTGGGGCTTGCAGGAATTCTGATTTCTGGGATTGAGCTGGTACAGATTGTTCCTGCCTTCAGGCTGATCAACCAGAAGCCATGCTCAACAGAGAAACCGCCCTTCCTCTTTCTGTCCACTGATTCCTTGCAGATCCCCAGCGTCCACTCCTTCCCGTCTCCCACCTCGACCTCCCAGTAATGGCAGCCAGAGGAGAAGTATGGCGTGCCCAGGACACAGGTCAGGTAGGTGAATCTCTGGGGATCTTCCACTGGGTTGTGGCAGATCTTCCCACACCAAACACTCCTTAGGTCATCAGAGAGGACAAGGAAGGGGTTGGCAGTGCTTCCATCCAGAGTCATATCCTCCTGGAATCTCAGCAACTCTTTGCTCACGTGCAGGCTTTTCATCAGTAGGCCACTGTGCTGTCTGATCAGAAGGGACAGTGCTCTGATTTGCCATTCCTCCAAAGGGGGGCTCTCAGTTACCCCTCGACACATGGGGCAGGTCAATTTCAGATCCCTGTGTTCTAGCATCCATCTTTGCATGCAATGAAAGCAGAACACATGTTCGCAGGAGAGTAAAATGGGACAGAAGAAAATTTCCAGACAAACTGGACAGGTCACCTCCTCTTGCAGACTTTGGGCCATGGTCCCGGTGAAGGTCACTCCTTGACAGTGAACTGAGCTGAAGCAGCCCTTTATAAGCTTCTGAAAGTGATCAGGAACCTTCTGTACACAATCTGTTCAATAATCAGGATATATCTAAATCCAATACAAAAATTAAATAATATAAATCTTTCTGTAGTTTATACAGCAAAGTGCACAAAGTCACCAGAGAATCATAGTAAAAGCACTATCTGTGAGAAAAATCATCAAAAACTATATGAAATCTAGGTGATCACAAATGAGAGAAACAGGACAGTGGACATTGTCTTCTCAGGTGGAGCAGTTTACCTTGTGTGGAGACATCCGGATGAGGTCTTCTCTGCTCTGACCACAGCTTCTCTCTCTGGGAGCTGAGTCCAACAAGGTCTTTCATAGGATCACGGAGGGCAATCTCTGCTTCTAATCAGTATTCCTTTGTAGGTCACCAGCAGTCCAAGAAAAAGAACTTCCGCATCTAAATACAACCATAAAAATAAAGCCAATCCAACTCTAGCCATTTCAGAAAAGTGAGAAGCCCTGTATATTTTCAAAGAAAACTACCACACGTGAGTCAAACTAGCAAAAACCACTGCAAAATGAATGAGATGCCCATTGTAGAATTGCTTTTAACGACAAAGTATCATTCAGATGAAATGCTTTCAAGCACTCTTAGAAAACTAGGAAGGCTTGAGTGTGTATGAATAAAAATATAACCATTGTCACCAACTTCTCTAAAATAATGTCTGAACACAAGCCAAAAAGAGGTATTCCTGGCAAGGAAGATGTTATACCGCTACACCAACTGCTCTCTCCTCCCAAAGCTTACTCCTAGAAATGCCTTCTGGGCCTTCCTACAGAGGTTGCACACTTTGGATGAACTACCTCTGGCATCCTGGGCCTGGCTGATTTGGAACAAGCTGGGCCCCTGCCCCAAAGACAGCCATTTCAGGCCAGTCGTGCCCATGAGATGATGTGAACTGAAGACTCTTCTCGAGAAGGGGCCAGTACTGAATAAATAACTAACAGAACTTCTTCCTAAGAATTCACATTCAGTTGTGGCTGAGGAAACAGAATCGGAGACAGCAAAATAAGCTGTGTCAACATCACCATGAAGGGAGAGAGGAGAAAGAATGGGCCCTCCTGAGGCTAGCCCAGAAAACCTAGGTTACTAGAATATCCTAGAACACATTCCCTCATCTCCATCAGATGAATACTTACGAAGAGTTTCCCATGATCCCACCTTCGGCTAGACTCTGGGAATACAGATGTGTGTAACAATATACAGGATATCTCCCCACAAGAAACTTGGAGTCTTGGGAAGCCTTCCAGTTCCTGAATGGCATTCAGTCTGATGGAGTCTGGTTGAGTGACCAGAGATAACATGCTTCCTTAAATCCCCCAATACTCTTTCCAAAAACCTGACTTTTTTTTTTAAAGATTTTATTTATTTATTTGACGGAGATCACAAGTAGGCAGAGAGGCAGGCAGAGAGAGAGAGGAGGAGGCAGGTTCCCTGCTGAGCAGAGAGCCCGATGTGGGGCTTGATCCCAGGACACTGGGACCATGACCTGAGCCGAAGGCAGAGGCTTTAACCCACTGAGCCACCCAGGCGCCCCCGAAAACCTGACTTTTTGAGGCATATTTGAATATGGTGCTTACAGTCTAAAAGGTCTTCCCCAACCCACCCTGGAATATATGTAAGAAAAAAATTTTACAAAAGAAAAAAATGCTACATTTGTAAAACGTTGTCCTTTCAGTATTATCATGACCCCAAGTGATAAACACAATCTAATTATATACAAACAATAAAATGATTCTGGTAATTATAATGCATCTATTAGAAGTAGTATGTCTTAAACAGGCATTTCACCCATGGGGATTAGGGAGGGCACTTGTGCCCAGGAATGGGTGTTGTAAGTGTTGAATCACTAAATTCTACACCTGAAACTAGCATTACACTGTATGTTAACTAACTGGAATTTTTAAAAAATTTCAGAGAAGTTAAAAAAAAAAATGGTAAGTATACTGAAATAAAAACCCAGAAACATCTTTAAGAAATCATGCTAGAAAATAAGGAACCATTTTAAAACACATACGTCGTAGTTGAAAACACATAAAAATACATGTAGTTCATATGTAAAATATTTGTAATATGTAAAAAAAAAAAAGTTCATGTGTAAAAACTGGAAATGTTAGAGTAGAAGGTGGAGGGGCGCTTGGGTGGCTCAGTGGGTTAAGCCTCTGCTTTTGGCTCAGGTCATGATCTCAGGGTCCTGGAATCGAGCCCTGCATCGGGCTCTCTGCTCACCAGGGAGCCTGCTTCCCACCGCTGCCCCACTCCACCCCCTACTCTGCCTACTCATGATCTCTGTCAAACAAATAAAATCTCTAGAGTAGAAAGTGGAAAAAGCTCCCTGATACAGGATAAGACTGACTCTCTCCTGAAATCCAGAGATAAAAGCATTTAAAAGATAAGTTGTAGCCAAAGAGAGAGAAATGGGACAGCGGAAATGAAATAGCCCAGCCAGAAGAGAGCACTTACACTATTACACTAATTTGGAAAATTCCAGCAGTCCTGAAGATCCAAAGCCCATATACCTCTGCCTCTCCTGGGCTTACCTTCTGTCTGGAGTAAGTTTCAGTGCAGAAGGTCTGGCCTTATATAGTCCTGTGACACAGTCTCCACCCACAAGGAGGGTCACTGTCTCTGCCTCAAAGATTGGATTATCTCCATCCAACCAAGTAAACTGAAGCAACCCTGCTCCTCCTGGCGCAGGAGGATGGCATAAAGTCATACCCAAAAACTTCTAAAAGTTATCCTCTTTGAGTTAAACTAACAAACCTACGGCCATCTGAATGAGATTTTCTAATTTCAGAACTTAGCTTTAAAAAACCAAGATGTGGGGCACCTGGGTGGCTCGGTGGCTTAAAGCCTCTGCCTTCAGCTCAGGTCATGATCCCAGAGTCCTGGGATTGAGCCCCTGCTGAGCAGAGAGCCTGCTTCCTCCTCTCTCTGCCTGCCTCTCTGCCTACTTGTAATCTCTGTCTGTCAAATAAATAAATAAAATCTTTTAAAAATAATAAATAAAATAAATAAATAAAAAGCAAGATGTTTTGGAGATCCAATACAGAAATGCACTGCTGAAATCTCCTCAGGTCTTCGTTAACGTCATCATCGGTATTATCTCTGAAGGAGTTTTGCGGGAGCAGGGTCTAGAACAGTTTTCATAACCTTGGAATCAGTAATTCTACTCTTGGGGGACAGTTATTAAACAGGATGAGAAAGATAACAGTCAGGTAAGCCTGTTGTCCTGCCATGATTATTAATAACATCCCCTTTTACTTTCAAAATCATCCTTGTTTAAATGATAAATTAGATAGTGTTTATACTAGAAGTAGAAGGAGCAGGGGCCCATGGGTGGCTCAGTCATTAAGCGTCTGTCTTTGGCTCAGGTCATGATCCCAGGGTCCTGGGATCGAGCCCTGCATTGGGCTCCCTGCTTGGCGGGAAGCCTGCTTCTCCCTCACCCACTCCCCTGCTTGTGTTCCCTCTCTCACTGTGATTTTCTCTGTCAAATAAATAAATAAAATCTTAAAAAAAAAAAGTAGAAGGAGCAGTAAATGTCATAATGAATGAGAACTGTGGCACAATCATCGAAAAAAATGGGAATTGGAGGGTCAGTGAATTTTGTTGCCGATGGAAAGCAAGAAATCCTCCCACTCAGATACACAGATTCTGAATAACCTCCCATTGCTCAGGGGTCCTGCTCTTGTAAAGCCAACTGAAGAGTTTCCCCTCTACTTTTATCTGGTTACTGTTTCCATTTCTGTGAGATAAATATCTACAGCAAAGGCTCTTAAATTTAAATTAAAAAAAAAAATTTAATCTCAAGCCCCTTTCCACTCTTTTTTTTTTTTTAATAATTTTGGTGGGGTTTTTTTTTTAATATTTTTATTTATTTATTTGACAGACAGAGATCACAAGTAGGCAGAGAGGCAGGCAGAGAGAGAGGAGGAAGCAGGTTCCCCGCTAAGCAAAGAGCCCCATGCGGGGCTCAATCCCAGAATCCTGGGATCATGACCTGAGCGGAAGGCAGAGGCTTTAACCCACTGAGCCACCCAGGCGCCCCCCCTTCCACTCTTAAACATAACTGAAACCCCCCAAAATTTTGTTTATGAGAATCATATTTTTCCATGTTTACACTATTACAAATGAAAACTGAACACATTTCTAGAGATTTATTTGACACACTTAAAATAACAAGACTATTAAATGTTAACAAAAACAACATCGTTTCCTAAACACTAAACATTTTCCAAAATAACAACAACAAAATACCACTAGTCAGGAGAGTGGCATGCATGAGTTTGTGTCTTTGAAAACCTCTACAATTCCCAACCGACAAATAAAACGCCATTCTCATGCGTGCTTATGCTGGTTCTATCGGGATAGGTTGTTTTGGTGAAACTCCATAAAAGGACACTGGGCTCCCCACAGATATTTAATTGGATAAGGGAAGTCCATTGCTCTCCAACAAATTTCTAACTCTACATGGCAGCTCCAAATCTTAGTTTCTTGGCAACCGAAGCCCCCAACAATGAACCCAGCCATCTTTTTTGTGTGTCTTCTGCCGTCCCAGAACTCTCTCATATGATGCGGCTAAATATCAAACTTTTTTCTTCTTTCCTGCCCCATCATAATGAGGATCTTTTCGGGTTTTTTTCTATTTAAATTATTGAACTGCAACAATGATACCAACTCAGGTTCTTCTCTATTTCTAACATCTACCAGGCCCTCCCCAGATGTTGATTACAAAAAGCACCATTGTTCGCTGATTTCACATTTTCCAGCCGGTTCTGACTGTGGTTTGAACATTCATGGACTCCTTTCTGTTGCTGAGCCTTGTATCTGCCGGGAGAAATAATTCTTTCCCGGAAATACTTTAATTCCCAGGTTCCTCATTACTATGGTAATGCTGAATTTAGTGAGAAATGTCATTTTT